GGTACTGGAGTGGCTCTCACTGGTGCCGGTCAGGGGCTTGGCCACAGCAGTGTTCTCCAGGTCAGGAAAGGTGGAGTGACAGGCCCGGAGAAGATCCTCCATACCCAGTCGCTCAGCTACCTCGTAAATGACCCCAACGTTGATCAGGTCCGTGAAGAGCTCTGACGTGTAGACAAAGCTCAGAATCTTCTCAAAGTTGGCGGGGGTGATGAAGTCTACCACATAGGTCCTGGCAGCATCAAGCCCAGTGTTCAGGAAGAGGTTCTGGAAGTAGCCAGCTGCGCAGGCCAGCACGGCTTTGTGGGCTGGGAAGGAGCGGCTCCCCACTACGATGGTGACATCACACATGGTCTCGGAGAGCCGGCACTTGTTGAGTTCCTTCAGCAGGTTGTTGGGGTGGTTGGTGCTTTGCAGTTTGATCCTCATGCCCATCTTAGCAGCTCCTATGACGTTGCCTCCTTATCAGCACGGTTAATCTGTGGACAGCAAAAGGAAAAGGTGGATGGCCAAACACACCCCTGCCGGTGAGGAGTTCTGCAGGACGAAATGCCACCAGTCTGCACGTTTCCAAGCCCTGGGCGGAGAGCAAGAGTGAATGGACAGACACCTGCTCCATTCTGCTCGGGGCAAGGACAGCAAAAGTGACAGGGCAGTGACCCCTCTCCCTGCATACTCCCAAAGACAAGAGTTGTCACAACAAAATCCAAAACTATTGAAAAAAATCTGATGGGTTGGTCTTTAAGAGTAAGAGAAGCTGTAGGCCTGGGTGGACAGAAGCTAGTGCCTTAAAGCCAAGCCAGAAGCATCCTCTCGACACAATCTTATACTTCATTACCAGAGCAACTGGTTCTAATTTTTCTCATATTAAATGCCTAATTTCTTCCTGAATCCAGGCTTTCCTATCTCACTAAGTATATTCTCTTCGCTTATGATGCCAAATGCCATATACATACTTGAACACAATTATCAAGCTCCATTACCTGTTGGGGACAAGATAAGGATGTTCTACCCTTTAGTTTCCTATCATTGCTGTGATCGTTCAGGCCGTAAAAAAATCTCTTGCTTATTCTTGAGTTCCCACCTCTCCCTACCTATGCTACCTGCCTCCCCTCTTGTCTCTCCATAGCCCAGAGCCATTCAGATACTGCTCTATCACATTCTCTGTATGCTGTGGATGAAGTTAAAACACTCAGACACCAGAGAAGTAAGGCAAAGCAGAACACCACTGTGACATTTAATATTACCTAAATATGCTTCAATTTTTCTTCCCACCCTTTTCAGGATTTATGCTTATGTTGACCAGAAATAAGAGATATACCTGATGCCATAAGAAGGCATCTAATTACATAGGTAAGTCCTAAAGGCTTGCTCAGTACCACTTTTTCCCCTTTTTGAGTCCTGCCCGCCAGAAAGAAGACAAACTAGTTGCCTTCTCTCTCGGCCTCACGACTCGCCCTGGGCAACACAGACCCTTTCTTCACCTCACCACATTCGACTAACTCCCAACTTTTTCTGGGGCCCAGGAAGCTTCTGAGCATTGCTGGGTACCAGCCAAGCATCTCCCGGGCCCTGGTGGCCACACATCAGCGGTCAGTAGGTCCGGACACCGGGAAGCCCAAGCGGGCAGTGGGAGGGGACGGATTCGGAACTTCGGAGAAGGCACCCCAACAATCCCGCGGCGCCGCCGTCTCCCCTCTGGAGGGTCGAATCCGAGAGGAAGGGCGTTGGATCTGGCTGGGGCACTCCATCTGGGAGGCATCGAGCACTTCGGTCCCTCCCCAAACAGCGGGGGAATTCCTCAGGGCGACCTCGGGCGGGGACGGGGGGTGGCGGCGGGGAGCGGGGTCGGATGGGGATCGAGGGGATAGGCGGCGGGGCCGGCCAGGGTCGGCGCGCGGCCGGGGAGGATGGGTCCGGCCGAGGGGAGCGGGCAGGAGGGAGCCAAGCGAGAGCGAGAGAAAGGCCGGGACGGGGGTCGGGCCTCGGCCGGGGCAGCCCTCGGCCGGACCGCGCTTACCCGGCTCCGCGGGGCTCGAGCACCATCGCCGCCGCCGCCTCACACAAAGGCCCCGGCCCGCCGTGCCCGGCCCGACAAGGAGGCGGCGCCGCCGGCCGCGGCCAGACTCTCCATCCGCCGCGCCGCTCGCCGCACCGGCCCGGGCCGCCCCCACCGCCCGGCCCGCAGCGCCCCCCGCCGTCCCGGAGGAGGCAGCGCCCCCCGCCGCTCGGCCGCAGCGCCCCCAGCCGCGCAGGAGGAGGCAGCGCCCCCTCAAGGCGGGGCCGGGCGCGAGGCCAGCGGGCCAAAGCCGCCGAGCCTCCGGCCGCCCTCACCCCTCGCGCCCCCTCCGCTTCCCCGCCCGGCCCTCGCGCTACCTGGGACCCTCGGCCCCACCTCCAACCCCCGCGCGGCCCAGGGACCGCCGCCGCCGGGCCCCGCGGGCAACTGTGAGGACGTTTCCAACACCCCCATCCCCAACCCAGGCCTGGCTTTTCTGAAGCACTGATCCTCCGTCTGCAGGACCACTCCCTCCTCGCGCTGGCACCTGGAGAAGTGAAAAACCCTATCCCAGCTCTAAGCTTGAATCGGCTTCCCTGTTCCACATCTCACATTCCCAGAAGTTTACTCTCAGAACGTCTGCTGTTGTAGTTTTACACGAAGTTGTGAGGCTGTTTGATTAATTTACGTCTCCTCCACCAGGCAGTGACCTTCCTGAAGGCAGGGCGCCGTGGTTCTGCACACTACCGCGTCCCTGCGCTTCCCACACGCTTCTGGTTCATATGATAGGTGCTTAACAAAGCTTGTTTGAATGAATGAACAAATACTTTTGGGTCCCTGGTGGAGAACCCTCTGGAAGTTCACTGTGGACCCTCCTTCCAGCTAGGTGGGCAAATGAAGGAATTCACAGGATCCTACTGCACCTTGGCAGCACAGGCCTGTTCCCGGCAGCTTGTCCTCCCTGGAGGGGAGCAGAACTTGACACCTCGACATATGCCTCTTTGGCATAAGGATTATTTTTAAGAAGCAGCAGACAGGGGAGAAGCTCTGAAAAGTGAGTAGAAGTTACGCTTTTGTAAAAGATATTTACATTTATAAGGGAAATGTCCATTTGCAAGGTACCTCTCTGTACCAGGAAGAGAAGGGTTACTAAATGTCTAGAAACTCTTAGTTTTTCTGGGTATCTCCCATGTATACAGGAAGTATACATGTTGTTAAACTTCTGTTTCTTTTTTCCTTTTAATCTGTCTTTTATTATTTGCTCAGCCAGGAACCTCAAAGGGTGAGGGAGAATTATTTTTCCTCCCCTACTTCCTCAACTCGTTTTCAGCTCAGTTTCTCTGCTTCCACCCACCCTTCTCCTTTAGTGCAGCAGTTACCCTCCAAATCTTCTCCCCAGATGCTCCTGCCCAAGAATTGTTATCAAACTGAGACTACTTGAGTTTAACTGAGAGATGTGATCAAAATTTAAGGCATTGGCACCATTACCAGCGATCAGTCTGAAGTTCTCATCACAGCTTTTACTGTGACATTCACAGGTCATGAAGGTTTTTTGGCTGAATCTCTGTGGTATTCACAGGTCACGACTTCAGGCTCACAGTTTTTTAGCTGGTCATATTTTTTATTCCCTTTTTGGTGTTCCAGTCTTAGGGAGATCATTTGCTTGGTGGTTAGCAACTGACAACATGCATTTAAAGCTTTTAAGAGAATACAGGAGGCTTCCTTGGTGGCGCAGTGGTTAAGAATCCGCCTGCCAATGCAGGACACACGGGTTCGAACCCTGGTCCGGGAAGATCCCACGTGCTGCAGAGCAACTAAGCCTGAGTGCCACAACTACTGAGCCTGTGCTCTAGAGCCCGTGAGCCACAACTACTGAAGCCTGTGTGCCTAGAGCCCATGCTCTGCTGCAAGAGAAGCCACTGCAATGAGGAACCTGCACACAGCAAGGAAGAGCAGCCCCCACTCACCGCAACTAGAGAAAGCCTGCGTGCAAGCAACGAACACCCAACACAGCCATAAATAAATGAATTTATTTTTTAAAAAAAGAGAGAGAGAGAATACAGGGCACAAGGAGACTACTATAACGATTATAAGCAGGACAATTCCCAATGTCTAGAGTGCACTTCAGAGCCATGGTCCCCAAGACCCAAAGCAATCAAAATCAAACAAGTCAAAGAAAGACCCCATTAGAGGAGTCACCTTTTTAAGCCAAGTGGCTTGTTCAGTAATCTTATGCAGCTGAGTTTCAACTTCCCCAGAAGTGTTCATTTAGGTACAGTGGGTGGTGGTGGCCATAGCACAGATACCTCCTTGTTCAGCTAAAAGAAAATCAAGAACAACTTTGGCTGGAGAGTCTAAGGATTTTTGTTGGGCAGGCATTAGTTTAGCAGCACATTCAGGAAAATCTTTAAGAGTTAAGGAGAGATTTCTGATCACAACCTCATCTGTACTCACTCCTAACCAGGAGTAGAGGGACCTGCCAAAGGAAGCAAATCCTGAATCACGAAAGCCTCCTGGTAGGTCCTTTCTAATTTGATGATGTAAATTCAGGGAAGTTGACCCAATAAGGTGTCTCAGTTTGTCTGTGAACAGTCAGGGGCACAGTTACATAACCTAAAAGGCATTGCCCAGTTATGCACTAGCCATCCAGGCATTCCTAGGCCCAAGGAGAATGACAACCACCACAGACAAAGATTAATTCTGTCAGGGCACAAACCAGTTCTGCTAAGGTGGCACTATTAATGGTCAGATCAGAGTTTTTATGACAAAACCAGCAGTCTGAAATGTTATCCCCCTTAGCAATGGCCTGGGACATATGGATGATGATGTCATCTTTCCAGACCAATGACAGAGTAAAGGAAAGAAAGAAAAGAAGTAAGGGTTTCAAGTTTAGTTAAAGTAGGAAGTCTTGATCTGATGTCTTGGGTGGAAGAAGTTTACATCAATGTCAGCTACCCCTCTTCTTTGTCAATTTGATTTTGAGGTCTCCAGCTGGTGTGCAGTTCCTAAAATCAGAAGGAGCCCTTTTTAATTAGGAGCTGTGGACCCAACGTTCAAGTTCCTGAAGTTTGGCTGCCATCCGGGTAAGACCTGGTATAGTCCCTTCCAAGGAGTTTCAAGGGCATTCTATTAGTGATTATTAGTGATTATTAGGTTATTAGTGATTCCAAATTAGAAGGGTGGGAGAAAATTGGAAACATTGGTTTGGAGAGTTGTAGCCAGATATTTGAGGAAACTAGAAGAATTCAGGATCTAGTTTAGTTTTCAAGTATATTACAAAACCTCAAAGATAACTAACAGAATTAGAATCTAATATTTACAAAGGTTAAAACATAATTTTTCTTTCTACAATCACCCCATTTCCCCCCAAATATAACACAACAATTTGTTTGAATTTAACTTGGCCTGATTAGTTACATAAGTGCAACAAGAGTAGTGATTGACCATATAAGCTCTTTTTTAAGACTGCTTTACTAGGAGTTTCAGATTGAACTCTTAAAAGCCTCTGAAGCCAGGAAGCCAAGCCAAGGATTGCCATCAGATTTTACCTGAAAAACCTGTAGTTTGGGTGAATTCTCCTCTTCTCAAGGTCCTGAAAATATCCTGGGGTTCCTGGACCTGCTGGGAAATGACCTTCCTTACTTACATGGTAAGACTGCCAGGAACCCTGTAAGTAGAGTACCAAGCCAATTTTTCCAAGGGGCTTTACTGGCCTTATAAAGTCAACCTTAGTTCCTTAAAGCTACCTAGTCATATCTGAGTCTATGCACATTTCTCTTAACTATGACATTTCAGTCAAAGCCTTGATAATGTAGCCAGCGTTTCTAATTGCATCCTGTTACAAGGAGAGCAGATTTTTATTGGACTTATGCAAATAACTAATCATATTGCCCTGAGAAGAATACTCAAGAGCTTCTGAATTCTGACAGGATCAGGTAGGGAGAAAAAGTACATGTTTCATCTTTGTTTACAAAGGTATATGTTACCAAATTGCTGTAAATCATAGATAGCTTAAGAAAAAAAAGGTTTTCTTAAATTTAGAAAAACAAAACATTAAGGGACCAGCAATGTTGCAAACAAAAAAGTCGTAAAATTTTTAATTCTTCTCCTCAGTTATTCAGTCCCATGTAAGTAATACTTGTTCTGCTTGAATCCAGTTTTTCCATTAGTTCTGGAAATTCTTACCTTGTTCAGTTATATGCTCTTAAAGTTATCATAAACCTGTACTTACCAAAGTCCTTTCCATGAATCTTCTTGAAAATGACGTACTTTTGCAGCTGGTGTTGAAGAATTTGCATAAGGCCTTTAAGAACAATCTCTTTTCCAGTGTTTCCATTGATTACAACTGAACATCAATCCCTGGGGCAGCATTTTGATGATGGACACCTAGGAGGATGTAATAGGGGAGGCCTAGGTGTTGTTCTAGATACCTTTTGTGTTTTTAGTAAGATTTTGCCATTTTTGTAGATATTTATAGCTTCTGGAACCATCGTTCTTAGACATAAAATAGGCAGGTATGCCAGAAGGTGGCATGCTTGACTCTTTGGAGCTTAAGGATCCTGTTATATTTTTAGCTAAGATTTTGGGTCTCTTGGAGCCAAACTAATACCTAAGAGGGATGTGCCACTGGGTTGGAGATTGTGTGGTGTTTTACAAGTGTACCTCATTGCATGGAAATTTTATTGAGGTTGGCATCAATCTAACCCATTCTATGACCAAATTATCCTAACATGGGAGTCTTTTGGTTAGGTGAGCACTCTAACAGTTGTTTTTGTTGTTTTGTTTTATTTTTTTCTAACAGCTTTTAAGTGCTCATCAATTTTTGTAACTTTATGGCTTCCAAGATTCCCATTAACAATAGCCTTTATCTACACTAAGCGAGACAAACAAACATGTGCATCTTAACACACCAGCAGTAACCAAGAGATGTTACTGCAGCTTGGCCAAGGAAAGTCCCTGTGTGCACCACCAATAATTCCCATGGAACTGGGGACTGGAAAAAAGATTGAACCAGCAGACCCCAAACAATGGGGATTGCAGACTGGTTCCAAACAAATATGAAACTGCAGACCAAACCACCAGCAGTTCCCTGTGTGGGATCTGGGTACAAACCAGCAGCTGGGATTTTCTGCTCAAGTGGGGGAATTGTGGTCTGAACCACAATTGGGGGGAATTGGGTTCTGGATGGAATCATCTGGTAGCTCAAGCTGACCTGTGCCAGATGGGAAAGTCAATTAGATCAGGAGCTTGACACAGAGAGTGGAGCTCAGAGCTGAGAGGAACTTACTGGTGGCCCTTGGAAACAATGAGAGAGACACAGAACTCAAAAGAGTTTTCAGGGACCATGCCTACGTTTCCCGTTGAGTTGTTAACAAACCCCCTAAAGGTATAGATTAAAGTTTATACTGTTTATACTTGTGATATTGTGATTTATAATAAAATATATATATATGGTCATTACCCCCATTTCTAGCACAGAACTCCTAAAACACTTGGAATTTCCTAAGTGATGAGAGCCATAAAGATATCTTTTGTTATGCTATCGAGTGACTTTGGGACTGCACCTAAAGATGGGGACTGGTCTCCAGGAGAACCAACTTTATGGTTAAAAGGTTGGAACTTTCATTCCTAAGCCCCTGACCTCCAGGGAGGGAAGAGGGCCTGGAGGTTGAATCAATTATCGTTGGTCAATGGTTTAATCAATCATACCTATGTAATAAAACTTCCATAAAGTCCTAAAGGAACTGGGTTTGGAGAGCTTCCAGGTTGGTGAAAATGTAGAGATTCAAGGAGAGGAGGGTGGCATGCTCAGAGAGAGCATGGAAGCTCCACACCCTGTTCCCCATGCCTTGCCTTATGCCTCTCTTCCATCTGGTGTTCCTAAGTTATATCCTTTTATAATAAACTGGTGATCTAGTGAGTAAACAGGTTTCCTGAGTTCTGTGAACCACACTAGCAAATTAATGGAACTCAAGGAGAGGGTTGTGGGAACCTCCAACCTGTAGAGAGTTAACAACCTGGGCTTAAGATTGGATCTGAAGGAGGGGTGGGGGTGGGGGACGTCTTGTAGGACTGAGCCCTCAACCTGTGGAATCTGATACTATCTCCAGGTAGATAATGTTGGAGCACTGCTTGTTGGTGTGGGAAATCTCCCCCTCCACACACTGAATTGGGTCTAGAACCTTTAATACCGAAGTCTTTAAAGTAAATCATCATGTAATAACAATAGCACACATATGCAAAGCTAACTGGAGAAGGGCCAGGAATTCAGCCCAAGGTCTTTTTGACCAGGTCCCCTTAGGCATCAACATCTTTACAACAGGAAGAAGAAGGCCAGGATTCCTTCACACATTCTCCAAGCACAAAAACAGAAATCCAATTTAAGGTTTGTCTTCATTTTGCCTGGAATGCCCAGTACTGCAATTTTCATTAGTCCCACCAGAGAGCAACCTTTCTACACTTATGCTCCTACTTGGCAAGAACAGAACCACCTCGTGAAGCTTTCATGACCCAAATAAATTCCCCAGACTCTGCAAAATTACCCCACTTTTAAACCGTCTAGGTAGATCATTTTGAAAAGCCAACAATATAACGCGTTGGAAAAAGGCTTGAGGATTTGGGGTGAGGGTATTCTTTGACCTCTAGCAATAAACCTGACACCAGAGATACTGAGGTGAGCGCCCGCACCATAGAGCTGTGGGTCCAAAGTTGCCCCAGTCAGGTTCTGGGAAGAGAGCACTTTCACTGGGGTGAAGGACCTGCAGGAACTGGTCTCTGGCTCCATGGCCCTGACTTTACACAGCCTTGGGAGAACTGAGTGTCGACTTTGTATCAGGGTGGTTCAGGGCCATGGCCAAGTCCCCTACACCGGGCTAAGACAGGGAGCCTGAGGACTTCCCAGGCTGTTCCATTAGGGTACAGAACTCCCCTTGGGATCAGTGGGCTGTGATAGCTAGCACATCAGATTAATAAAAGACACCCACACACACCTCATTTAAGTGCCTTATGTACACTGCAGACTACTAGACCAGCATTACAGGGGCTGGTAAGAGTTGCATCACAGAAGAGTAGGAAATAAATGTTTTCCCTTTATAACTGGCCACCACTAAAAAGATCTGCTCTCCTCTTTCTCAGCCCCTATAGTAACTTCCCTGTCTATGCCCCACCCTAGCAAGATCAAGTGCTGTTTGCTTGTCTAAAGCCCTGCTACAATGTAAACTCTGTTTACGGATCACCATCTTATCCACACGACCTGTTGCAGGATCCAAGTTCAATATTCGGTGACAGAAAAATAGTACAGTGCTTGGATGCACCCTCCTCTGGGCTGGATCTTCGCACAGCCTTGACCCCACTTCTCTTCTTTGAGTAGGATTCAGGGACTGATGTCTCCCAGGCCCATCCTGGAAATACAGACAAGCCATTCAGAATATCTGTACTTCTTTATCTAAATCTGGTCTGCGAAAGTCTTTGAGTGCTAGAAACCATCTTCCAAATTCATTTCTCCTTTTAATCACTAAATAAATCTTCTGATACCAATTGTATGAAGCAAGGAGTAAGACACTGTTGGGGAAACCAATATGTGTACAAAATAAAGATACTTCCATTTATATATGATATATGTGTGTGTATCATATATATATATTTGTGTATGTGTGTGTGATGTAGCTGCAAGAGTCAAGAAAGAGGAAAACCCACCCACCAACCCACCAACCAAATACATCACTCTGGGTCATAATATGTAAAAATTCTTTATTGTTGAGGCGTGGAGAGAGACATCATATTTTTAGGATGCTACAGAAACTCCAGGGCAACCTATAGTCAATGCCTGCAGGGACTGGGGCGGCTCACTAGGCAGTTTCTACAGCGGGTGGGGTAGAGGGTTGGAGAAGGGGTCAAAGCCCAGGAGTGTTACAAGGATGTGGGAGAGGAAGGGAAATAGGAGTGCGTGCACCTGGGGATTGGGAGAGGGTGACAGATGTCTTCACGATGCAGCCCAGGAGTCCAGAAGTGGAGTGCTGAGGACCAAAAAAAGAAGAAATCACATCTCTGTCCTGTAAAACTCCCACCAACCACCCACTGGGGAGGTGGGGGAGAAAGGGAGGGGCATCTGTAAGGGAGAAGTAGAGAGAATGGAAGTCTTAACCCTCAGCTATCCCTGTAGTCTTTGAACTAGAGGACCGAAGTCTCCTAGCCACAGGTGCATGCGTCTTCCCAGCTTCCATGTTTATCACGCTATGGTCTGAGGGGCCCATGCAGAAAGAAGTACTGGCAAAGTTCATAGCATCCTGGCATCCCTATGAGCCAGGCATACACACAGCCCTGTCCAATGCACCCTGGCACTAATGCTCCCCTGGCCTCACTCAGTCCCTCCTCCTCTTTCCAGAAACCTCCCAGAGGAAGGACAGGCCCAGGGATCACTTCCTTATTCAGCAGTTTCACATGAATGAGATAAGATGGCACAATGATCTGTGTTGATCCATCTCATCTAACCTCCTTTAAATGCCAGCCCCCAGGGACCTAAGTGTCTATTCTTCCCAGCACCTAACAGGTTGAGAATGCACCATCAGTGGTGAGATTATGAGGGCTGCAATTATGGGCCTGGTCCCTCTGAAAGAGCCTACGTTCACCAGAAAGCATTACAAGTAGATTTCCACGATGCACTTGTTTCTGCCATTTGTATAAAATACTATGGCAAAATTGCACTGTAGTTATCTTTATGGTTGATGCATAACGTTGGGGAGTGTATATCATCCAGATATAGCCGCCCGTATAATTATCTGACCGTCAGCAGGACTGAAATAACAGTCTAATGACAGCAAAATGATACAGTAAGTACCATGTAATCAGTGAGTTACGGTTATTACGGCTTTTTGTACCCTCTCACCCAACACTGAATGGGGGGCCAGACCCGGTCTCTGGGCCCGGGGAGTCACACATAGGCAGTTTCATTGAGAACCTGCTCCTGGTCCTTGGGGCTCCCTTGAGACCAATGAGTGTGGGTAACAGGGCCACAGAGAGAGGGGCAGGAGTCTCTGTGAAGACTGAGCCTTCCTGATCCCTCTCCTTTCCTCCCCTGACACCTTCAGTGGAAGCCAGTGCAAAGAAAGCCATCAGTGAGCTGCTATTGCTGTGTGTGGGAAGATGGTGTCGAGGCAGACGGTTCCGTGTTTTGACAAGACACTTCCCCGGGGGACTCACGCTTGCATACCAAGTGGAAGAGCTGTCAGCCCACTCGGGCCCAGGGTCCAGCCCAGACAGCTCCAGGCAGACAGACCGGAGCCCGCCAGGGTCAACACTGGGACCTTCCCCACACTTCCCAGACTACAGTCACAATAAAGCCAACACACAGCACTGTGTGCCAGGCACTGTTCTGAACACTTTACCTAGACTCAAAACCACAGCCCTGCAAGGTAATACTATGACCCCTGTTGTTCAGATGAGGAAATTGAGGCACAGAAGGGTTTTGTAACCTGGCCAAGGGACACAGCTAGTGAGTGGCAGGATTCGAACTCAGGCCATGCTCATATTCATTACACTGCACAGAGCGATTAAGATATGGTTTCCAGCTACTCCCCATTAGATTTCAGAGTTTGTTGCATTTCTTGCTAAATCACCCTTGCAAATAACTATATAGTGGACCCAGTAACCCGAGATTCTGAATGATCTGAATGGTTTCAGCCTGCCTGGGAAGCAAAATGCTTCACCTGTGAATAGATGTGGTACCTGTAATTATCAGATGATGGTCTGTCCACCTTTTGCACAAATCACAAGAATGGAGTCCAAACAAGAGAAGCTGCTCATCAAAGAAACCCCAGGGGAAACCCCTCCCTTGCCATTTCCTACCACTCAGCCATAAGCAGGGATCCATGAGACTGGAAAGAGATGAGAAACAGGGTGTGTGTGTGTCTGTGTGTGTGTGATCACAGGCAAGCACACACTTCTAAGTGTCAGGCACTGGTAGTGTATTTAGGCCATTAATTATGAGCATTAATACCCATAGCATCAGAGGAAATGCTCCAATGCTCCTCTGGCAACCTACTCCCCCCACATACACACACACAGCCCCCTCTCTCTCCCTAAGTACTTACTTCATTCCACATTGGAGGGATACTTGAAGGTGCCAAAGCTGGGGACGTTCTCTTGGTTCACATCAATAGGATTGTCTGTGGTGAAGTAAACAGTGTAGTTAGGAGGGATTTTTTTGCATATGACCTTCACCCTGACCCAATAGCAAAGGGCTGGCTATGAAGGACAGCTTTGGAAGACAGAGTTGGGAAGTAGACGGATGCTCTGTTTGGGAGATGGGGGTGGGGGGCGGGGGAGAAGCAGAGCTTGCCTGACCCCCTCCCAGCTACAGCAGAACTACCTTATAAAGGTCTCCGTCCTGTGCTCCCGGGGAGGGCTGGACTGTGGACCCAAGCCGATTGGGTAGAAGGGGCAGAGGAACCCTCACTGTAGCTAAGAAAAGTCCTGTCTTTCCCTCTGGTGACAAATATGAAGCAGCTGACTTCTGCTACATCTTTGCCAGCACCCTAGCCCTTCCACCGACCTCCACATCTTCCTACCTGGCTGGATGTTCCTCTTGCCCATGAGACCCACAAAGAAGTCATGCATGTCACCTGCAGAAACAGGGCCAACATTTTCAGCGGTGATAGTGAGGGGCTGATACATTTCCCCAGACATGTGTCAAGACTTCTGAGGTTGGGCTTCTGGTCTCTGTTTCAGTGTCTCACCACAGCTTACTCCCCGCAGTTAGCAGGCTGTCCCCTAGGCCCACCCTCTCTGTCTACCTCTCCCTCCCCCACATTTCGAGAACTCTCTGAAATTCTCCCACCCAACAGGTGCCTGGCTTAGAATCTTCACAGCCACCAAGAGATCCTCTTGGTTCCCACTAACCTACCAGTGGAGGGAGA